ATAACTTAGTATTTTAAAGCTTTTAAAATATTATATAAATATACTTTTTATATATTTTAAAATTAGGGGAGAAAATAATAATATTATTAATATAAATAATAATAAAAATATTAACGTATTTTTAGAGTACGTAATTAATTATTATTTAAAAAGTTATTAAGGTATTAATAAGTCTAAAGGGTATAACGAGGTATTTAAAGAGCCCTTTACGAATTTAAAATACCGTTTTTTATTTATTTCCTTTTTTAATTTAAATCTAATTAAATACCTTTTTAAAATCTATAATAATAAACTAATTAGCTCCGTAAACTAGATTTTTAAGTTTAATAATAAGTAATAGGGAATAGTAATTCTTTTTTATAATTTCGTTAAGTCTTTTATAATTAATAATAAGTCTTAATTTTCTACCCTTTTTTAATATAAAAAATAAAGGGAATTTTATAAGAGAATTTAACGGTTAAATATATCCCTTTTTAAGTTTTTTATTAATATATTTATTAAAATATTCTTATTTTCTTTAATTTATTAAATATATTAAATAGAACTTAAGTTATGCTCCTTTTTTAAGTTCGATTTTTATATTTTAATTATTATATTCTAATAATCCTATTTCTTTAGGTTTTATAAATAGTTTTATATATATTTAGTATTTTTTAAATATAGTTTAAAGTTATTATAATTTTTAATTATTAATACTATATACGAACTTCTTAAAGCTTTTTATTATTTTAATAAAAATTATATATTATATTTATTCTCGTTTTTTAAGAATTATTAAAAATCTATTTAAACCCTTTTTTTTAGGTTATTTAGTAATTAGATTTTTTTAAAAGACCTAGCTAGTAATCTAATTTATCTATAAGTTATACTTTTATAATTACGAAATTTTTAAAATAATATCGATATTTCCGATCTTTATAATATTATATTATAATTATTTTTATTAGTTATTAATATATATTAAGAGGTATACGGTTTTTTAATTAATATATTTATAATTATAATTAACTCGTTATCTTTTTATTATTTAGAGTTAATATAAGTTATTTTTTTATACTTATAATAAGTTAAGTTTATTTACTATTTTTAATAAAATATAAGTTTTTTATATACTACTATTAATAATAATATTTAGTCCTCGTTTATAAATATCGAGGTTAACTTATAAATATACGTTATTATATTATTTAGTTATTTATAAGAACTTTTTTTTATTTTTATTTTTTATCGTTCTTTTATAATTAGCTTTTTTAATTTTTTATTATTTATTCTTTTAAATAGTTTTTTTATTTATATTTTTTTTAATATTTTTTTTATACTTTAGCTTTTTTAATATAATAAATTTAGTATTAGTTATATTTATAATCTTTTTATTTTATATACTCGCTATTAAAGTACTTTATAAAAAAGCTAGGGTCTAAGCTAAATATTATTTTATTATTATTATTAAAGCTTAGTAATATTTAACTAAGTAACTAGTTTTTTATATAAATATCCCTAATAAGTTTACTATTACGTCTTCGTAAATAAAAACGGCTATTATATTTATATACGAAGTACCGAAAATATTTATTATTTAAATATTCTATTTAAAATAATTTTTTATAAAAGAGATTTTTAAAGTTAAGTAAAAAGTAGTTTTTATTTATATAAGGGGTTATTATAACTTTTTTACGTTTTTTAGTTTTATAAAACTAAATAGTTTAGTTATCTTTAAATAAATAAATATATTTATATTATAGTTCGTCGTTATTTTTTTTAAAACTAGTATTATTAATATTAAATAGTATTTTATAATCGATCTCTATTTAAATACGTCGTTAAGTAACGTTACGAAGTTTATCTAAATTATAAAATAATTTTACTTTATTAAAATAAAAAGAGCTAGTTCTTATTTTAATATCTTCTTTTTTTTTAAAAATTAAAATTAATTTTTTTTTATAACTCTAAAATTAAAAATCGGTCTTTTAATTATTTTAATTTTATTTTTATATAAGAGGTTTTCGAGCTATTCTTTAACTTTATAAATAAAGTTTTTATTAATATCTACCTATTTTATTATATAAATAAATTTAATTAGAATTTTACTTAAGTTAGTTTTTAATTTAGTAAGTAGTTTTTAATTTATATAGTTTTATCGTACTATATAAATAAGGCTACTTATAATTTTTTTAATATTAAGTCCTCTTTTTTTAAATTAAAAGAGTTACTCCTTTATATTAACTAAAAATCTTTACTTAATTCGTCTTTTAACAAAGTAAAATATATCCTTTATAATAAGGTCCGTTTTAGCTTTTTTTTTTATATTTTTATAAATCTAAGAGAGTATAGTAATATATTTAATATTATCCTTTTTTAAAAATATAGGGTTAGTAAGTAGGTTTTTTTATTATTATTATTATTATTAAGGTTTTAATAAATAATATAGTATCGTATTTAGATCGTCCTATATTTTTAAGTTATTTTAAGTACTATCCTATTTATTTTTTACTATTTTAATAAATAAAATAACTATTATTATAATAAACTATTTATAAGAGTTATTTATAAAAAACTTTTTTATTTATAATATTAGCTCATTTTTTTAGAATAAGTTAATATTAAATACGCTTAGGTTATTAATAATCTCTAGCTATATATTTTAATTTATTATAGTTATAATATTTAAAGTCCTTTTTTTAGTAAGGTTATTTTTTTTTAATAATACTAAGGTTTATTAATCTATTATAATACCTTATTATAATAATTATTAATTTATACTTACGTTTATTATTAAGTTTAGCTTAGTTATTTTAAGTATTTTATCCTTTTTATTTAAAGCGTCGTTTATAAAATTAATTATTAATCTTAATTATTATATTAATATAATTATAAAGCTTATTTAGTTATTTTTATTAAGAGAGGTTATTCTTAACTTCTTTTTTTAAGCTATAATAAAAGGCTATTATAAATACTTTATTACCCTAATTAAGTTTAAAAATAATTTACTTAAATTTAAATATATACTTATTAACTAAACCCTTTTATATAAAAATTATAAGCTTTTACTTAGTAATTCGTTCTTTATTAAGGTTACTAAAGGTTTCTTTAAGTCTTTTTTTAAACTTATTATAATTATTAAAAATCTTTTTAATATTTTTATTTTAAAAGTTATATTTATTTTTAAAATAGTTTTTTATAAAAAGCTCGAACTAAATAAGAATATCTTTTTTAAAAAATAAAGCTACGTAATAAACCTTATTAGCTTTAATAATAAAAAAGGTCTTATAATAATATAAATAAACTCTAGTTTAAGTAAAAAATCCTTAAAAAATATCTAGGGACCCGTTATAAAGTTCTAGTTTAAAATACTTAGCTCTAAGTACTAAGGGAGGTCGAGGTATTATAAACTAAGTATAAAGTTACTCGTTTTTATTTTTAAATTTAAATATTATATTATATAATTATTAAATAATCAGTATAATTACTTTAATAAGCTACGCCGTATTATTATTATTAATAGTCGATATATTCGTATTATTTAGTTAGTTTTTTATAAAATAAACTTATTAAATAAGAGTTATTACGACCTAATATGCATAACCGAGACTAGGGCCTGCCCCGCAAGCTTACGGCGGCTATAGTATACTATATATATAAAACGGGAAATATAGAGTAATTCCTACGGAACGGAAGAATTATAGATAAGTTACGTATAAATAAGATAAGATTAATAAGCGCTTATACTAAGTAATAAGCGCTTATACTAAAAAATAAGCGCTTACTTAGAATAATAAGCGCTTATTAAAATACCGATAGTAATTATTAATAAAGGGAATATTTATAATCGGACTTATATATAGTATAGACTTAAGCCGGGCTTAAGGATAGACTTTTATAACTTTTTTAGTAATTAACTTAGTATTAAATCTTACGATTATTTTTAGCTATTTTTACTAAGAACCCCTTTTAATAAGACTATAATTAATTACTGAAGCCTTACTAACCTTATGACTTATAGATATAGCTTTAGGGAAGCTATTTATGACTATAATACTATTATTAGCTTCGTAGCCCTAACTTCTATTAATATACCTTATTATAACTAGCTAGCTATAATACTTTAATTACTCCTATTTAGTAAGTTAACCTTACGAAGCTTATTAATAATAAAAATAACGATATTTTTTAATAATACTCTGCCTACTTCTTTTTCTTCGAAAGAGAAATAGCCCGAGAACTTAGCTAACGAACTAGCCGCTACTGATAATAGTATACCCGACGTTACTTATGACTCCGATAGAGATGCTATTATTAATTAGAATACTTATGCCTAAATAAAACGAGCGGTTAGTAAGAGCGCTTAGCGTAATAAAGAGCTTATTAAGCTCTTTAATAATAATACTGCGTACCTAGCCTAGATTTAAAAAAAAAGTAGCGAGGATATCGCTATTATATAGAATATAATAAATAAAGCTATAGTAGCTCTAACCCTTAAAAAAAAAGAAGCCGATAACTTATTTTAGGAGGTTAGAACCCTTAGAGCTACTATTAGTATTATTAAAACTCTAACTAATAGTAAAAAGAAACTTAAACTTAATATACTTACTATTTTTAACGGTACTAACGGACGTTTTAAAGGGTTCTTAATTTAAATTAGAACCTATTAGACTTTTTATATTACTAACTTCTGTAATAAGACCGAACGGGTTATTTACGTAGTAACCTTTTTTAGAGGACGAGCTTTAGAATAGTTTAAACCTTTTTAAAAGGAGTTCCTCCGTAATAATAAATACTTCGAGAACTATAAAAATAAGACCGCTACGATTTTTATTAATATAGTAAGATTCTAGAACGCCTTAGAATTACTTTTCTAAGACCCGGACGAGGTCCGATAAGCTAAAAGAGACTTAAGAAATCTTAAATAAACTAAATCTATTTCTTATTACGTAGCCGAGTTTAGAAAGCTTTTAGCTAGACTAAATACTACGGAGTAAATACGAATCTCTGACTTTTATAAAGGACTAAAAGACGAAGTTAAGAACGAGATATTTAAGCTCGATCTACTAAAAGAATTCCTAACTTATATCGAACTCGCTATTAGAATAGATACTAGACTCTATAAGTAACGCAAAGAAAAGAACTAACGAACGTAAGCTAATACTAGTAAATAATACTAATTACGATTCCTAGGATAAAAAGAAGCCCTATAAAATTATTATTAATAATATAGATTAACGTCTTATGGATAATATAGTAGACTTATAGACCTTAGTATTACTAACCGAGGACTACTTAAGAAGAACTTTAAATACTATAACTACGATAAACTAGGGTATATAGTACGAGACTACTAATAACCTAAACGAATCTAAAATAAATCTAAAACTATTAGTATAGTAACTATAACTACGCTAAAAGCTAAGCTAAAAAATATTTATAAATCGTTATTATAAACCGGATACTTTAATAATAACTACCTTATTTATTAAAATAGTAAAAAATAAGTAAGTTAGTACCCTAAGGAACCTAAATAACTTGCTATAATAAGAATCGATGCCGAAAAGACTAATACTAAAACTTTAGCTATAAATTGATGAATCCCTAATGCTAAGGTTCTTTGTAAAATTAACGAATAACTTAACGAAGCTATTTTTAGTAAATAAATTATAATAGAACCCCTACTAAACGTATTGCTAATGACGGTAAATAAGAAAATAGACTTTAGACCTAATAATAAAAGTAATACTAAGTCCGATACTAAAAAATTGGATAAAGACCCTAGCTTAGAATAAAAAATTTAAGAATAGAGTATAAAATAGCTCGCGGATTAAAAATCGCCCTATAATCTGGACGAACTTCGCGACGTTGCCCGATAACGTGCTTAGATAGAGATTATTAGCGGGTATATACTTAGTATAAATAATACTAGCTCTAAAAAGGAAGACGAAAAAAAGGAGCGACCTAAATATAAGAGAATTTATAAAATAAAAAACGACTAGTTTATCCTATTCTATAAAACTAGTAACCCGGGGATAGATAAAGAAATATTACCTATTTTAGAAAATAACGCTCTCTTAAAAAAGACCTACTAGCTATATTATAAGATCTTCTAGGTAGAATACTTAATTAACGACTATAAATACTATTATTATTAAAAAGAAGAAAACCGCTTTTACCTTAAAAAATTCTCTAATAAACCTATTTAAGAAGTCTATTTCGAATAAGACCTACCTTATTAATAATACGAATCTTCTAACGAGAACGGAATAGCTACCTTTATACTAGACCTAGATTACCTTATAGAATACCTAAATAATACCTAAAAGAACTAGGAAATATACCGAACGGACTAATATAAAATCTATGTAATACCTAAAGCCCGCGAATAGTAACTCTAAAAAGAATAAGTATAGGAAGAATAACTAAGAACTAGCTTATTTTAGAGGAACCCGGATAACCTTACTATAACCTTAAGCGCCTACCCGCATAATAGATATATCTTAAATATATAATCTAATATTAAAGTACTACGAGCTTACGAATTATTTCTTAGGGAGAGAGAACCTACTAAAAATAAAAGAGATAATATTTAAAATATAATCGATATGCTATACTCCCCTACCGAAGGATAGAGACGTATCGACTTAAAAAATAATTATGAACGACTCGTTAAAAAAGGACGAGCACTAGCTCTTAAATAATTAAAAAACTAAAAATACTAATTAAATAGGAACGATAAAAAGCGAAACTAAAAGTAAGGTTCTTCGCCGTAGCTTATAAACTAAGCTCGGAATACTTTATAATAAATATTAGTATTTAAAGATAACGAATACGCGCTATAATTAATAGCGGGGCACAAAGAGAATTTATATTTCTAAGAACTACTAAGAAATATAATATTTAATAATAAATAAAGAACGAACTATACTTACTCCGCAACTTCGAAAGAAAGCTATTCTAATATAATAGAGGATATATATTTTAGGAGACCGCGCACCTCTATACGAATATTTACGACTATTTAGAAAAGATCGCTTATAATATAGTAGAAATAGGAGATAAATATAACGTAATTCTAGGAATTATATAGTTACGAAAGTATAACCTACGGATAGATTAGAGAATAGGCTACCTCTAATAAATAGATTTAGTTACTAAACGACCTTATAAAAAGGGTTTAAACGAATTTTATATAGTACCTAAGAAATTAAAAAACGAAATAAAATATCTAGCCTATGTTAAGAGAGTAGAGCTAAATAGGATACTCATACTAGTAATAGACAATTAGGGATCGGATCTACTCTAGACTATACCTAAGGAGTACTAGAAATATACGAAGCTATTTATATCTAAAAAAGAAATAGGATTTTTAGAATATAGTAACTAAGATATAAAAATAGAACTTAAAGAGGGTAAATAACCGCAGTTCTACCCACTATATCCTTTTAACTAATAAGAATAATAAGAACTTAATAACTACCTCGAGAAAACGCTTACTAAAAGATATATTAGACCCTCTAACTTACTAGCCGGAGTACTAGTATTCTTCGTACTAAAAAAGAATAGAAAACTACGACTTATAGTCGATTACCAAGAGCTTAATTCGATTATTAAAAAAAATTACTATCCCTTACCCCTTATTACTAAACTTAGAGATTTACTATACGGAGCCTAATAGTTTACTATAATAGACCTTAAGGTAGCGTTTAACTAAATTAAAATTAAAAAAGGAGATAAATAAAAAACTACGTTCCGAATATAAAGGGGACTCTTTAAGTATCTCGTTATGCCTTTCGGACTTACTAACGTACCCGCAACCTTTTAAATAATAGTTAATTACGTACTTAGGGAATATATTAATATCTTCGTTATTATTTATATTAATAATATCCTTATTTTCTCCCCTAACCTCGAAATATATAAGAAGCACGTTTATATAGTATTTTAAAAACTCTAAGACGTAAAACTCTTTACTAAACTAGAGAAATACGAATTCTACGTATAAAAAGTAAATTTCTTAGGCTATATTATTACGCTAAGAGAAATCTATATATAACGATCTAAGGTAGAAGTAGTTAGGGACTAGCCTATACCTCTTAATATTAAGGACGTCTAATCCTTCTTAAGACTCGTTAACTTTTACTAACGATTCCTTAAAAAATACGCTAATATTATAAGACCTCTTAACGATCTAATATAAAAAAATATACTATTTATCTAGGACCCTAAATACGAAAAAGTATTTACTAAAATTAAAAATATAATTACGACCGAACTAGTTACTATAATCCCGGACCCTACGAAACCTTTTAAAATAAAAACCGACGTTTTAGACTTCGCTATAGGTATAGTACTTAGCTAATAAGATAATAAAGGATGCCTACGACCTTATGCCTTTTATTTTAAAGCCTTTTACGGAGCTAAACTTAATTACTAAATCTATAATAAAGAACTAATAGCTATTATCGAAGCCTTTTAAAAATAGAGATTATAGTTATCTAGTACTAAATACAAAGTTATAGTATATACTAATTATAAAAATCTCGTATACTTTACTATATTTAAAAACTTAAATAAACGATAAATATAATAGTTAGAATACCTCTCTAAGTATTATTTTAAAATAGTTTACTAAAAAGGATTAGAAAATAGCAGAGCGGACGCTCTTAATAAAAGACCCGACTATAAAGTCGAGGTCCCTGAGGAGACTTAGGTTATCTTTAAAAAAGATATAGACGGAAATCTTATACTAGCCTATAAGCTCTTAATAATAATTAGAAAAAGTAATACTAGCCTGACTAAAAAATTATTTCCTAAGACTATTATAGAAATATATAGCGCTAAAGTATACGGCTACTAAGGTATTATAAAAACGTAAAAATAGATTTATTAGTATTATAATAAATCCGCTATACGTACTAAAATCGCTAGTATAATTAAGGATTGTGCGACCTATAAAAAAAGTAAAAATAGCCTATATAAACCTTATAGAGAATTATAACCGTTACTACCCGTACTAAAAGTATAGTACTCGATCTTATAGGACTTTATTATTAAACTCCCTAAGTCCCGAGAACTACTTATAAAAATATAATTCGATAATATTTTAATTATTATCGACCGACTTATTAAATACGTATACTTCGTATTATATAAAAAATTAAGTAACGTAGAGGACCTAGTATATATATTTCTTAAAGTAGTTATTATAAACTATAGAATACTTAAAGAAATTATCTTTAATAAAAGAAGTATATTTACCTTAATATTTTAGAGATCCCTAATTTTATAACTTAATATAGACTATAAACTCTTAATTACTTTTTATCCGCAAATTAATAGGTAAATAAAAAGGATTAACTAGATCTTAAAAACTTACCTCTATTATTATATTAACTACGATTAAGATAACTAAATACTACTACTCCTAATAGCTTAGTTTATATATAATAGCGTAATAAGTAAAAGTATAAGATACTTACTATTCTACCTTAACTATAGCTTTAAACTAACTACTTATAGAAAAGTACGATAAGGACTATAGGCTATAAAAACTATAATAAATATAAAAAAACTTAGAAAACTCTAAATAAAGACCTTACTAAACCTCGAGTTCGTATAATAGCGTATAAAAAAATATACTAATAGATTAAGGATTAGAGGACTAATTTTAAAAAAGGGGGATAGCGCTTACCTCTTTTATTATAATATTAAAATAAAACGACTAAGTAATAAATTAGACTATAAAAAACTCGGACCTTTTAAGATTATTTAAAAAGTCTTACTAGTTAACTATAAATTAAGATTCCTAGATATGATAAAGTATTATCTGGTCTTTTATATTTTACTTTTTGAACTAGTACTTAGAGGTTCGTATATAGAGGATTATATTATTATTAAACTAGACTAATTAGAATATAAAGTTAAAAGAATTATCGATTATAGAACTAAGAATAGAATAAAAGAATACCTTATTAAATAAAAAGGCTATAGATATAAAGAAAATATATAAGAACCTATTACGAACCTCTAGAACTCTTAGGAATTGCTTTGGGAATACTAAAATTAAAATTAAACTCCGAACCCTTAGTTATTATAGCCTCCTAATTAACTATACTGAAAGCGCTAATAGACTAAGCCGCCCGTATTAAAGAAGATTTGCTAGGGACTTTGTCCTAGGAGTTAGTAGTAATTATCCCGGACGTAGTACGACCCTTTTTAAAAATTATTTACTTTTCTTTTTTTATATGCTCTAGCTTAGTAAGAACTTTGTTTACGTTTGACTAAGCCTTTTATAAAGCCTTTATCCGCTTATAAAAAAGCTCTTTAAATTTTTCCTCTTTATTATCTAAGTAACGAGACTTATTTAATATTCGCTTAACTACTAAAATTAATAATATAAAAAATAAAGATAAGAAAAGGAATATACGAGTATAAATTATATTTTCTAATATATTATAATCTTTTACCGTCTTACTAGTATAAATATACTCCCCGTAGATTAAAAAATCCGATAAAATCTTATAACGAAGACTATGCGAGCAATAATAAAAATAAGGTATAACTTCGGTACCCTCCTTAGCGATCTTTAATAAATAACGAAGTTAACGGAGCGTTAAAACTAACTTAGATTTAGTATTATTTTTACTACTTATTTTATTAGTATTATAAAAAAAAAGAAGCTTAACGGACCCTAACCTGGGTTACGAAAACTTATTTATAGGTCTATAGGATAAGACTTTTAAAAAGAAGACCTAATATTACGACCTAATATATATAACTAAGACTAGGGCCTACCCCGCAGGCTTATAATAGCTACGGCATATTATATATATAAAATAGGAAATATAAGGTAACTCTTACAGAACGGAAGAACTATAAATAAGTTACGTATAGATAAGATAAGATTAATAAGCGCCTATGCTAAGTAATAAGTACTTATACTAAGGAATAAGCGCTTATTTAGAATAATAAGCGCTTATTAGAATACTAATAGTAATTATTAATAAAAGGAATATTTATAATTAAACTTATATATAGTATAGACTTAAGCTGGGCTTAAAGATAGACTTCTATAGCTTCTTTAATAATTAACTTAGTATTAGATCTTACGATCGCTTTTAGCTATTTTTACTAAGAACCCCTTTTAATAAGACTACGATTAATTACTAAAGCCTTATTAACTTTACGACTTATAAATATAGCTTTAAGGAAGCTATTTATAACTATAATATTATTATTAGCTTTATAGCCCTAACTTCTGTTAATATACCTTATTACGACTAGCTAGCCGTAATAAGAGTAATTAAAATATTATAACTAGTTAGTTATAATAAGTATATTAATAAAAGTTAAGGTTACGAATACTAAGTAAATAGTATCGTAATTATAAATAGCTTCCTTAAAGTTATATTTATAAATTATAAAATAAGTAAAGCTTTAGTAATTAATTATAATCTTATGAAAAAAGTTCTTAATAAAAATAGCTAAAAATAATTATAAAATTTAATACTAAGTTAATTATTAAAAAAATTATAAAAAGTCTATCTTTAAGCCCGGCTTAAATCTATATTATATATAAGTCTCGTTCTTAAATATATTTTTTATTTTTTAAGTTATTTTCGATTATTTTAATTTAAAATAATCGTTCGGCCCTTAAGTCGTATTAAATTATTTTAATTTAAAATAATCCTTATCTTATTAATACGTAATTTAGTTATAGTTTTTTTATTTTACGAGGAGTAGCTATATCCCTATTTTATTTATATATATAGTATACTTAGTTACTATAGGTAGTAGGCTAGCCTCTAAGTTAGTTATATATAGCAGGTTATAATATTATTTTAATTAAATATATACTTTTTAAGATTAAACTAGAGCTTTTTTAATAATTTACTTTTAAAACGTAATAATATAAAATAATCGGGAAGTCTACTTTTTTAATCTAGCTAATATTATCCCTAATCTATAAATAATAACTCCTCTAATTAAGGCCGTATTAAGCTAATCGAAGGAGGCATCCTATATTACTTTTATAGGTATTAGTAGTTCCTTAAAAGCACCGCACCGTAAGAGTCCCTCATACCCTACAGTTTTCAGTATATCAGCTAATTTTATTTCTCACCATGACCTTAAAAGCCATCTATATTCTCAAACAGAAGCTTTACGTACCTTGTTTCTCATACTCCGCTAGTTGCCTAAATCAAGACACGGTATGATTACAAATGTCGAAAATGGATAGTACTAGATTTAAGGGACCAAGAAACATAGAAATCATCGTGCGCAAGCTGGTATGAGTGGCAATTCATGGAGACTTACAAAGTGCTCCGTTGCCAAGAATCAGTATCAATCCGAACCCGAAACAAAAGGCGTTTACCTTACATGAAGATGTCATCTACGACAGCAGTCTTCCTTGCGCATGGCTTTCATTGCAGCCACACGGACAGTTCAAAGTTCCCGAGAACACAGTAATTTGATCATCTTGCTTGGAGTCCAGCTTTTTCGCTCTCAATAATACCATGTCTGCTGTAGTTCCTTGAGGCTGTGCTGCTGAAGACAGGCATTTACGGCTGATGGAGCACCTTGGCGCTCGTTACGACAATATAACGAGAAAATGAGTTGGATTTCATGATGTTGATACCCAGGGGAAGGGGTGACGAATATGTATAAAGCCAGAGAGCTGATCTCGATCATTCTTCAAAACCGTCATCACATCAGACATCTTAACTTGAAGACATCACTTTCTAATCATTCACATTGAACCTATCTCTACCATATTACTTCATCAGGTTGACGAAGCACCTCGCCTCTTGTCTCTCTCTGCTGCCACTACTCAGTGGACAGTCAGCTGCCGCCCCTGCGCCCTCCAAATGCACCTGAGCAACTACCGAGACGTGGGAAGTACTCAAACCCTTGGTCGGCGGTCCTCGCCAGGAGCACGCCGCCGTGGCTCTCGGCGATAGTATCTACGTTGTCGCCGGCATCGAACCCGACGCAAGCCAGCCGACCGGTGTCTCCACAATCGACTCTGTGGAGGTGTACAACGTTCCCAAAGACGAGTGGTCCTTCGTCGCGCCTCTTCCAATCCCTATGAACCACGCCAATGCCGCTGCGGTCAACAGCGAGATCTACATTCTCGGCGGACTCTCCGGCGGTGCGGCCTTCCGCGCGCTTCCAAACTGCTACGAGTATGATCCTGCGACCAACACGTGGACTGAGCTCCCTCCCATGCCCAATGGCACGGAGAGGGGCAGTTCCATCCTTGGTGTCACTGGCGATAGGATTATTGTTGCCGGCGGCATCAGTCTGCTCGAGCTCGGAGAAGATGGGCTCCAAGAGACTGTCGATACTGTCTCGTCTTCCAATTTTATCACAAAGGAATGGGAGCCATTACCTAGTCTACCTGAAGGCCGCGAGCACGCCGGGGGTGGCGTCATCGGAAACAACTTTTACGTCGTCGGCGGCCGATTCCGTAGCCAGACGACAGTCCGCGACACAGTTTACGTCCTCGATCTCAAGACGCTCAAGTGGAGCGAGCGAGCGCGAATGCCTACCCCTCGAGGCGGTGTCTCAGTGGCTATTGTCGGGCAACGAATCTACACCTTTGGGGGCGAAGGAAATCTGGATCCGGAGGCTGGTTTCGTGTTTAACGAAACGGAGGTGTACGACGCGCGCACCAACTCCTGGGAGAAGCTTCAGCCGATGAACACCCCTCGTCACGGCATGGCGGCTGTTCCGTACAATGGAAGTGTCTACACGCCCGGTGGTGGCATTCGCGACTTTGGCATCGTTGATGACATGGAGGTTCTCCACCCCAACACACTTAGCTGGTAGAGGAGATAAAGTCGGAGTAAGCGTGTAAACCAGGTTTAGCCTCCCTTCAGGGGTATTAGTAAGTAGATCTCGCCTCGTCGGAGACTTACCGGGGGAAGTTGGCAGTTTCTTAGCTAGCTATCAATCGCATTCCTTTTTTCTCAAAACTCCGCCGGTTGTCCATGAAGACCAAAAGATGCCCAGTCTATTCCGTCTAGTGGTTCAGGCACAGAGGGTGTGAGGCACCTGCAAACAAGCTTTCCAACCAGGGGTCAATCCGAACCCGAGATAACTTTAAATAACCCCTGTAATCCGACGGACTAGGTGCGGACTTCCTTTGACGCTCACAGCATCCGTATCGAGATCAGTTGCAATGATATATGAATTATTACCTGGCACTTAAGGCTGGTTGACGATCTTCAATCTTCTGTTAAGACTCACTCAAGCACTACCTTTTTACGTTCCCTGCAGGGTTATCTGACTTGATACCAAGTCATAACGCACAGCTTCCGCCGCACACCTCCCTTCGATTCTGCCAGTGAAGATGCAAGCTTGGCAATACAGCTCCATCAAGGAGACACTAGAAAACTCCCTTACTCTCAACGAAAACGCGATCCCACCAGATGCATCATCGCTCTCCAAAGACCATGTCCTCATCGAAGTCATCTCAGCGGGCATCAACCCCGTTGAGTACAAGCTGCCCGAGATCCCAGTCTTTGGCAAGTTCATGCTCCAGCCGAACACGAGTCCAGGCTCAGACTTTTGTGGCCGAATCCGTTCCAAAAACGGTGCCGACGGATTCTCCGAGGGTCAGGTTGTCTTCGGGGCCTTGAGCATCGGGACCAAGCTCCCGCGGTTTGGTAGTCTGGGTCAGCTCCTCGTCGCTCCCTCCTCCAACATTGCGCCGCTCCCTATGGGCGTCGACCACGACGACGCAGCTGCTATAGGCACCGCTGGGTTGACGGCGTTTCAGTCTCTTCCAAAAGAGTCGTTGAAGCCAGGGTCTAAAGTCTATATCAACGGTGGAAGTGGCGGTGTTGGTTCCTTCACTATCCAGTTCGCAAAGGCTGCCGGGGCCTATGTGGTCGCATCTTGTTCGACGTCAAAGGTCGATCTTTGCAAACGTCTCGGGGCTGATGAAGTTATCGACTACCGCAAACTCAACGTTGTTACCGAACTCAAGAGAAAGGGGAGTGTTTTCGATATCGCTGTAGACAATGTTGGCAGCACAGAGGGCTTGTACGAAAGCTTCTCGCATTTCCTCAAGTCAGAGGGAGTGTTCGTGCAGGTTGGTATGTCAAAGTCGATGGTAGGTATGTTGCGGAGAAGCCTGTTGCCAGGTTTTTTCAGTAGTGGTAAGAGGAAGTTTCAATCCGTAAGGGTAACGCCGAGCCAAGAGGATCTGGGCTCAATTGGCAGGTTGATAGTAGAGGGAAAAGTACGAGTGTTGATTGATGAAAAATTTGAGTGGCGCGACGCACCAAGAGCATATGCGAAGCTTAGGGAAGGACGTACAACGGGGAAGATTATCGTTCATGTCAACAAGACTTGAGAAGCAAGTTCTGTCATTGTTGATTTCTATCTAGGGTCTGCCTCAAACAATCGCATAATCACACTTAAGCTTGGGAATTCCGGAATGCTGTCTCCATTGTACTTGATCACTCTTATAAGTCGGAACACCCCCATTCGGCTACCCCCCCCATTCGGCCACCCTATTAAAAGTAGGTCTAGGAACATCGCTACTAACTATAGTTAATTAATTAACTACTTTTTATTATTATTATAATATAATTACTATTTTTATTAAGTAATTTGACCTTTATAATTTAACTAGGACTAATTAAACGCTCGCTAATATCTTTTTAAGCCCTTTTTATATTTTTAATATTAATAAACTTAGTATTTAAGTCTATTTAAATACTTTTTTTTTTTTTTAAGAACTATGCGCTTAACTTTAGTTTTTAGAACTCGAACTTATTATTAAGATAAAGTTAATAAAAAGGATTTCTTATTAAAGGCTTTTTTAATTTTATAAAAAAGTAAATATTAAGTATTATAGTTAGGACTAACCCCCCTAACGGAGCAATCCGCCGGGGCCGTACTGTGTATTACGTATTAAGGAAAACTAAGTATATTGCGCTCTATACTTAATTACTAATTAAAATAGCTCCCGACCTTCTGCTACGTAAAGTTCTCTAAGTTTTAACTATTTAGAGGGCGAGCTATACTTATTTTAATATATATAAAACCTCTTAGTATTAGCCTATATAAGTAGCTAGATCTTATATTATATACTCCTTTTTATTAAGAATTAAGGGGCCCCTTATATATTCCTTTATATTTATAACATAGCCCGTATTAAAAATATTTCTAGCTTTATAAAGTATAATTTTTAAGTTAGTATTAATATATTAGATTTTAATATCCGTATTAGCTTAGTTATTTATGGCGTTCGTATTATTACTTAGCTAAATTCCGTATTATTAAAAAGTATTATATTACTTTTTAAGTATATTTATATTAGTTACGATAGTTAGGGCGTCGAGGGGGCCTAATTTATCGAGCCCTAGAGGGGGGGAACTATTAAGGGGCATTTTTAATAAAGTAGTAGTTTATATATTAATAAGTTCGTTTAATAAGTTTATTTAATAAATTTATTTAGTTTAAATAGAGCTTTAGGTAATATTAGAAATAATAAGGATAAAAAGAATTTTTACGAGCTTTAATATAGTAAAGTAGCTAGATATTAGCTTTTTTAACCCTTTTTTTAAAAACCTTTACGTCGTTATTAAAATTTAGAACCTCTATAATTAAGGGCTATTTTTAACTTTTATAACTAACTTTTACTATCGACCTTTCTAACTAGCGCTACTACGTAAATAAAGAGGGTAGCTTATTTATTCCGAATTATATAGCGGTTTTCGTATTAAAATTATTATATTACGTTAAGCGCGTATTTAAAGTATATTATATATATTATATAATTAAAAAGTATACCGTATTATATAATTTCTTTTAAAAGCGTAATCCCGTTATGGTCGATTTTTTATATTTATAAAATTAGAAAAAAAACTATTATATAGTTAAGACTAAGCTTTATATTATAACTTAATATGCATAGTAAAGCTAGGGCCCCGCCCTACGGGACTTATAATAGCTACTATACTATATATATAAAAATACGAACTTAGGGTAATTCCTTTTAAAATAAAAAAACTATAAATAAATTACGTAACTACGATTATATAATAAAATAAAAAATAGACGCCTATAAATAAATAAAACGGACGATCGTAAATAAGTAGGACGAATAACCGTTTAATAAATAGTTAAATAATAATAAATAAAAATATTATAAAAAATATATTTAAGAACGAGACTTATATATAATATAGACTTAAGCCGGGCTTAAAAATAGACTTTTTATAACTTTTTTTAATAATTAACTTAATATTAGATCTTATAATTATTTTTAATTATTTTTATTAAAAACCCTTTTTAATAAGACTATAATTAATTACTAAAGCTTTACTTATTTTACGACTTATAAATATAGTTTTAAAAAAGCTATTTACGACTATAATACTATTTACTTAGTACTTATAACTTTAACTTTTATTAATATACTAATTATAACTAACTAGCTATAATACTTTAATTATTTTTATTTAGTAAATTTATTTTATAAAAAACTAACTAAATAATACGAATATATTAATTATTAATAATAATAATACTACGTAGCTTACCTAAGTAGCTATACTTATTATATAATAACTATATAATATAATATTTAAACTTAAAAATAAAAATAAGTAGTTTTATACTTAGTTCTTAATACCCTAACCTTTTTTAATACTTAGAACTAAGTACCCTAAACTAGAACTTTATAATAAATCCTTAAATATATTTTAAGGATTTCTTATTTAAACTAGGGCCTACTTATATTACTATAAATCTTTTTTTATTACTAAAGTAAATAAGGTTTATTATATAATATCTTTTTTTAAAAAGGACGCCCTTATTTAGTTCGAACTTTTTATAAAAAATTATTTTAAAAATAAATATAAAATTTAAAAAGTAAATACTAAAAAGATCTTTAATAATTATAATAAATTTAAAAAAAGACTTAAAAAAACTTTTAATAACTTTAATAAAAAACGAATTACTAAATAAAAATTTATAACCCTTATATAAAAAGGGTTAGTTAATAAATACGTATTTAAATTTAAGTAGATTATTTTTAAACTTAATTAAGGTAATAAAGTACTTATAATAGCTTTTTATTATGGTTTAAAAAAAGAAATTAAGGATAACCTTTTTTAATAAAAACGATTAAATAAGCTTTATAATTATATTAATATAATAATTAAAATTAATAATTAATTTTATAAATAATACTTTAAATAAAAAAAATAGAATATTTAAAATAACCGAGCTAAACTTAATAATAAATATAAATATAAATTAACGATTATTCTAATAAAATATTATAATAAATTAATAAACCTTAGTATTATAAAAAGGGAATAACCCCGTTAAAAAAAAGACTTTAAGTACTATAACTACGATAAACTAGGATATATAACTAGAGATTATTAATAACTTAAGCGTATTTAATACTAATCTATTTTAAAAAAGCGAGCTAATATTATAAATAAAAAAGTCCCCTATAAATAACTCTTATAAATAACTTATTATAATAATAATTATTTTACTTATTAAAATAATAAAAAATAAATAGGATAGTACTTAAAATAACTTAAAAATAAGGGGTAATTTAGATATAATATTATACTATTTATTAAAATATTAATAATAGTAATAAAAAAAATACTTACTTACCGACCTTATATTTTTAAAGAAAATAATATTAAATATATTATTATACTTTTTTAAATTTATAAGAATATAAAAAATAAGGCTAAAATAAACCCTATTATAAGGAATATATTTTACTTTTTTAAAGAGCGAATTAAATAAAAACTCCTAACTAATATAAAAAAGTAACTCTTTAAATTTAAAAAAAGAGGACCTAATATAAAAAAAATTATAAGTAGCCTCGTTTATATAGTACGACGAAGTTATATAAATTAAAAATAATTTATTAAGTTTAAGAAAGAACTTAATTTAAATAAAATCCTAACTAAATTTATTTATATAATATAATAGATAAACGTAATAAAAAATTTATTTATAATTAAAAAATAACTTAAAAACTTCTTATATAAAAATAAGATTAAAGTAATTAAGAGACTAACCCTTAATTTCGGAGTTATAAAAAAAATCAATTTTAATTTTAAAAAAGAAAATATTAAAATAAGAACTAGTTCTTTCTATTTTAATAAAATAGAATTATTTTATAATTTAGATAAACCTCGTAACGTTATTTAATAACGTATTTAAATAGAGATTAATTATAAAGTACTATTTAGTGTTAATAATATTAGTTCTAAAAAAGATAATAACGAATTATAATATAAATATATTTATTTATTTAAAAATAACTAAACCGTTTAGTTTTATAAAACTAAAGAATATAAGAAAGTTATAATAACTTTTTATATAAATAAAAACTGCTCTTTACTTAACCCCGAAGATCCCTTTTATAAAAGATTATTTTAAATAGAATATCTAAACAATAAATATTTTTAGTACCTTATATATAAATAAAATAGCCGTTTTTATTTATAAAAATATAATAATAAACTTATTAAAAATATTTATATAAAAAACTAGCTACTTAGTTAAATATTACTAAGTTTTAATAATAATAATAAAATAATATTTAGCCTAAACCTTAGTTTTTTTATAAAATATTTTAATAATAAGTATATAAAATAAAAAGACTATAAATATAATTAATACTAAATTTATTATATTAAAAAAGCTAAAGTATAAAAGGAATACTAAGAGAAATATAAATAAAAGAACTATTTAAAAAAGTAAATAATAAAAATTAAAAAAGCTAATTATAAAAGAACGATAAGAAATAAAAATAAAAAAAAAGTTTTTATATATAACTAAATAACGTAACGATATATATTTATAAGTTAACTTTAATATTTATAAACGAGGACTAAACGCTATTATTAATAATAATATATAAAAAACTTATATTTTACTAAGAATAGTAAATAAACTTAACTTACTATAAGTATAAAAAAATAATTTATATTAACTATAAATAGTAAAAAGAAAACGAGTTAATTATAATTACGGATATATTAATTAAAAAACCGTATATTTCTTAATATATATTAATAATTAATAAGAATAATTATAATACGATATTATAGAGATCGGAAATACTAATATTATCTTAAGAATCTCGTAATTATAAAAATATAACTTATAAATAAATTAAATTACTAACTAGGTCCTTTAAAAAAATTTAGTTACTAAACGACTTAAAAAAAAAAGGGTTTAAACGGATTTTTAATACTTTTTTAAAAAATAAAAATAAATACGATATATAGCTTTTATTAAAATAGTAAAAAGCTTTAATAAGTTCGTATATAGTATTAATAATCGAGGATTATAATAACTTTAAATTATACTTAAAGAGTACTAAATATATATAAAACTATTTATAAAATTTAAAAAAATAGGATTACTAAAATATAATAATTAAAATATAAAAATCGAACTTAAAAAAGGAACATAACTTAGGTTCTATTTAATATACTTAATAAATTAAAAAAAATAAGAGTATTTTAATAAATATATTAATAAGAAATTTAAAAAAGGATATATTTAATTATTAAATTCTTTTATAAAATTCCCCTTATTTTTTATATTAAAAAAGGGTAAAAAATGAAAACTTATTATTAATTATAAAAAACTTAACAAAATTACGAAAAAGAATTATTATCCCTTATTACTTATTACTAAGTTTAGAAATCTATTTTATAAAGCTAATTAGTTTATTATTATAAATTTTAAAAAAATATTTAACTAAATTCGAATTAAAAAAAGAGATAAATAGAAAATAGTATTCTAAATTCGTAAAAAACTTTTTAAATACTTTATTATGCCCTTCGGACTTATTAATACTCTAATAACTTTTTAAATAATAATTAACTACGTATTCCGAGAGTACGTTAATATTTTTATTATTATTTATATTAATAATATTCTTATTTTCTTTTTTAATTTTAAAATATATAAAAAATATATTTATATAGTATTTTAAAAGCTTTAAAATACTAAACTATATACTAAACCCTTTAAATACGAGTTTTATATATAAAAAATAAATTTTTTAAGATATATTATTACGCTAAGATAAATCTATATATAAATATTAAAAATAAAAGTAGTTAGGGACTAGTTTATATTATAAAACGTTAAGGACGTATAAAAATTCTTAAGATTCGTTAATTTTTATTAATAACTCTTTAAAGATTATATTAATATAATTAAACTTCTTAATAATTTAATATAAAAAAATAACTTATTTATTTAGGACCCTAAGTATAAAAAAGTATTTATTAAAATTAGGAACATAGTTATTTTTAAACTAATTATTATAATCCTAAACCCCCGAAAACTTTTTAAAATTAAAACTAATACTTCGGATTTTATTATAAAAGCGGTCTTAAAATAATAAAATAAATAAAAAAAACTTTACTTATATTATTTTTATTTTAAAATATCTTATAAAATAGAATTAAATTAATAAATTTATAATAAGGAACTAATAGTAATTATTAAAATATTTTAAAAATAAAAACTATAATTATTTAGAACTAAGTATAAAGTTATAGTTTATATAAACTATAAAAACCTTATAAACTTTATAATAAATAAGAATCTAAATAAACGATAAGTTAAATAAAGCGAATTTTATTTAAATATAATTTCTAAATTATTTATTAAAAAGGTTTAAAAAATAATAGGGTAAACGTTCTTAATAAAAAACCTAATTACAAAGTTACGGTCCCTAAAAAAATATAAGTTATTTTTAAATAAGAGAAAGATAGTAGTTTTATATTAATTATAAAGCTTTTTATAATAATTAAAAAAATTAATATTAACTTAATTAAGAAAATAACCCCTAAGCTTATTATAAAAATTTATAATATATTAGTATATAATTATTAAAAAATAACTAAAATATAAAAACGGATTTATTAATATTATAATAAAATTATTATACGTACTAAAATAATAAAAATAATTAAGGACTATGCGACTTATAAAAAATAAAAATAGCCTATATAAATTATATAGCGAGCTATAACTATTATAATTATTAATAAAAGTATAGTATTTAATTATATAGGACTTTATTATTAAATTACTAAAGTTTAGGGAACTATTTATTAAAATATAATACGATAGTATTTTAGTTATAGTTAATTAACTTACTAAGTTCGCCTACTTTATTTTCTATAAAAAATCTAATATTATAAAAAACTTATTATATATATTTATTAAGGTTATATTTTTAAGTTACGGTTTATTAAAAAAATTATCTTTAATAAAAATAAGCTATTTATTTTAAAGTTTTAAAAATTTTTAATTTCGTAACTTAATATAGACTATAAACTATTAATATTATTTTATTTATAAACCGATAAATAAATAAAAAAGATTAACTAAATCTTTAAAATATACCTTTATTATTATATAAACTATAACTAAGATAATTAAGTAATATTTTTATTAATAACTTAGTTTATATATAATAATATAGTTAGTAAAAATATAAAAAAATCCCCGTTTTATTTTAATTATAAATTTTAACTAACTATATATAGAGAAATATAATAAAAACTATAAATTATAAAAACTATAATAAATATAAATAAATTTAAAAAAATTTATAAATAAGCCTTACTAAACCTCGAGTTTATATAATAGTATATAAAAAAGAATATAGATAAATTAAAAATTAAAAAACTATTTTTAAAAAAGAGGAATAGTACTTATCTCTTTTATTATAATATTAAAATAAAATAACTAAATAATAAATTAAATTATAAAACACTCGGACTTTTTAAAATTATTAAAAAAGTCTTATTAATTAATTACGAATTAAGATTATTAAATATAATACAATACTATCCCGTTTTTTATATTTTATTACTTAAACTTATATTAAGAGGTTTATATATAGAAAACTATATTATTATTAAACTAAATTAATTAAAATACGAAATTAAACGAATTATTAATTATAAAATAAAAAATAATAAAAAGGAATACTTTATTAAATAAAAAAACTATAAATATAAAAAGAATATATAAAAACTTATTACGAACCTCTAGAACTCTTAATAATTTCTTAAGGAGTACTAAAATTAAAATTAAAACTAGAACTCTTAGTTATTATAATATCTTAATTAATAATTTTAAAAATATTATTAGCTTATACTTAACGGGTTACTAAAGAAGTATTTTTAAAATCTTTAAAAAACTTTTTTAATATAATTCGACTCTTTTTAAATACTATTTATTTATAAAAACGAAGATATTTTAACTTAAATAACGACTTATTTAACTTAGCTTAAGCTTATTAATAAGCTTTAGCTTTTTTTTATAACTCCGTAGCCCTTTTTTAAAACTACGACTTTTTTATTTTTTTTTATAATTAAAATAATTAGACTCTATTACTAACTAACTAATTATACTTAATTAGCTAAGACTTAATAAATAAAAATATAATATTTATAAATATAAATAGTATTAATAAATATATTATATAAAATACTTAAGTAATAATATATTTTATAAACTTTAAAATTAAAAAAAACTAAATAACGGACCCCTTGCGAGTAATAATTTAAATAAAGTATTATTTTTATATTTTTATTAAAAAAACGAATAATACGTAATAATTTATAATAAAATATAGCTATTAAAAATTTCGATTTTTTAATTTAACTTAATATTATATTAATATATTTTAAAAAAATACTTAACGATTCCTTAATTTAAAAATAAGTAATATATTTATAAACTTAGAGGATTAGATTTTTTAAAAAAAAAGTTAATATTATAACTTAATATATATAATAAAACTAAGGCCCCGCTTTATAAGATTTATAATAATTATTATATTATATATATAAAAGTACGAACTTAGGGTAACTCTTTTTAAAATAGAAAAACTATAAATAAGTTATATAATTATAATTATATAATAAAATAAAGAACGAATACTTATAAATAAGTAAGATAAATAATTATAAATAAATAAAACGAGACTTGTATATAATATAAACTTAAGCCGGGCTTAAAAATAAACTTTTTATAGCTTTTTTAATAATTAATTTAGTATTAGATTTTATAATCGTTTTTAACTATTTTTATTAAAAACCCCTTTTAATAAAACTATAATTAATTACTAAAGCTTTACTTATTTTATAACTTATATATATAGTTTTAAAGAAGCTATTTATAACTACGATACTATTTACTTAGTATTCGTAACCTTAACTTTTATTAATATACTTATTATAATTAACTAACTATAATACTTTATAAATAGTTTTAGTTATTTATAAAAATTATTAATTTTTTTAAAAGTTAATCAATTAATAATAGACGTTATAGAGGTCTACTTAACGATTTTAATAATATTAATATTTATTTACTTAGTATTGGTAATATTATTTAATAGTATAATTAAGCTAGATAATATTATAAGATTATTAAAAAGTATAATTATATAGTAGTTTTTTTTTAGCTTTATAAGTATAAAAGATCGACCTTAATAAAATTACGCTTTTAAAAAAAATTATATAATATAGTATACTTTTTAACTATATAATATATAAAATATACCCTAAGTACGCGCTTAACGTAATATAATAATTTTAATATAAAAACCGCTATATAATTTAGAATAAGTAAGCTACTTTATAGTAGTGCCGGCTAGAAAAGTCGATAGTAAAAGTTAGTTATAAAGGTTAAAAGTAGCTTTTTTTAACTATAAAAGTTCTAAATTTTAATAATAATATAAAGGTTTTTTTAAAAAAAAAGGGTTAAAAAGGCTAATATTTAGCTACTTAGAGCTTATAAAGACTTTTTTTATTCTTATTATTTTTGATATTACTTAAAGCTCTATTTAAATAAATAAATTTACTAAATAAACTTATTAAACGAACTTATTAATATATAAACTACTACTTAGATAATCTCTTAGTATATAGTTAATAATTAGTAAGCTAGGACTTTTTAAAAATACCCCTTAATAAGTCCCCCCCTCTAGGGCTTAATAATTTATACCCCCTTAATACCCTAGCTATTATAACTAATATAAATATATTTAAAAAATAGTATAATACTTTTTAATAATATAAAATCTAGCTAAATAATAATATAAATACTATAAATAGCTAGGCTAATATAAATATTAAAATTTAGTATATTAATATTAATTTAAAAATTATATTTTATAGAGCTAGAAATTTTTTTAATATAAGCTATATTATAAATATAAAAGAATATATAAGGAGCCCCCTAACTTTTAATAAAAAAGAGTATATAATATAAGATCTAGCTACTTATGTAGGTTAGTATTAAGAGGTTTTATATATATTAGAATAAGTATAGCTCGCCCTTTAAATAGTTAGAAATAGTAGAAAGTTAGGAGTTAATAAAAGGGAGATAATAGTTAAGTTAGTTAATTTTAATTAGTAATTAGGTATAGAGCGTAATATACTTAGTTTTCCTTAATACGTAATATATAGTACGGCCCCGGCAAATTATTTTATTAAGGGGAAAAAGTATAGCTATATTAAGTAGTTATTAGCTAGTTATTTTTTAATTACTTCGTATATTATCCCTTATTAAACTAAATAAATAAGTTATAATATAATAAACTAAGAAGTACTACTTTTTAATAATAATAAAATTATTTACTATATTCTCTTTATTAAGCTCTTTTTTATAATTAGTTTTAATAAAATTAAAAATAGTTATATTTAATAATTAGAGAATATAAGAAGTATATAATGATAAGAATAATAAATAAATATTATTAATATAATATTTTTATATAAATTTTATTATTATATAACTCCTATACCTATTTAGAATTAATAATCGAGGCTCTAGTTATAGGTTAGGTCCCTTAGTTAAGGGGGGCTTAGTTTATAATAAAAAAATTATTTTTAACTATATAAAAGTAGTTTAGTTTATAATTTACTTATTATTTATTATTATAAATTCCTAACTATTAAAATTTTTAAAATTAAAAAAGAACTATTATTATTAAACCGACTTTTTTTTATAAATTAATAATAGTTTAATAGCTCTATTATTAATAAAAATATATTTAATAATAAAAATTTAAGAATATGATTTAAGCTCTTTTTTTTATATTACGTTAGTTTTAATTATATTTAAAACTAGCTTATTAAATCCCTTATTCTTAAGGATATTAATCTTATTTATATTATATTTATTAACTTATTTAATATCCTTAATTCTTATTATATTAAGTAATTAAAACTAAGGCCTAATTATTTTAATAAATATTTTATTAATATATTTTAAATCTATAGGACGATTTTTCTAAATTTTAATAAATAAGTTCCGTTTTAAAAAAGTATTTATTTATCTCTTTTTAAGAAGATAATTATTTCCCTAAGCTTATAATACTTACTTAATAAATTCTTTAATTTATTTATAAATTAATATAATTTTTAAAGTATATTAAATATAAACTTATTTAGTTAGCTTATTTTTTTATTAAAAAAAAAGCTTTTATTAGTTTATAAAAATAATTACCTTAGCTTATTAATTTTATTAATAATTCCGAAGTATACTCTTTAAAATCCCGAACTTAATCGAGGCCCTCTTAATTAAAATATTATTTCTAATTACTTCGAGCGCTTAAATAATTTTATTTTCGGTATATAATATTATAATATAATAAAAAATATATATATTAAAAATAAATACGTTTAGATAATAATTATAATTATTATAGTAGTTTATAGATTGAGGGTAGGATTTTAATTAGGGTAGCTAGGAGGGATTTTTGGGGTGGCCGAATGGGGGGGGGTGGCCGAATGGGGGTGTTCCGACTTAATACCTTCTCGATACGTACAGCGTTTATGACATGGGGAACATCTTATGGTACGGATGTCCGCCGTGAGACACTCGCCATGAATATTCTTGGATTCTTTCCTCTCGCAAGGGTCGAAAGCAGGCGAAAGCCTCTAAGAATCAACCGATCAAAGAACGAAAGTTCAGCAGTAATAATAGTCTGGCATGGGAATTGGCTATGAGAATTTTCCATTGAAGCAACGCAGTCTATATAATATCCATCCGCCCATATTAAATGTAGATGCAATTTTCGCTCAGCCCAAAGCGGAAACTATCGCAATTCTCTCATCAACACCTCCATAGAACCTGTCTAATTAAAGTCTAACTCCAAACGAGAAGCTAAGACAAGTTGCTCTCGATACAGACCTCACTACGTGTAATCTCACTGGTACTCGATGCAGATGGCATCGCTCTTGATGTCCATAACCTCAGCAATGGTGATGTTCTCGGCAATACCAGCCATCCACATGACATGGTTGAGCGTGGTCTCATTGCCATTGTCATTGAAGTAGGGCAGGAATGCGTTGACACCGAGGGAGGAGGGCTGCACGCTAGACCAGAAGAAACCCTGAGCGACGTTATTACCGCCAATATCAGTCAGACGGGACTCGTTCTGAGCCTGCCACTGCCACCAGAGACGGTCCAGGTTGGTGTGGTGGAGGAAAAAGAGCGGGTCGCCGGGTGAGAGCGAGGGGTCGTCCATCTGAGGGATGCCATTAGTCTCATGGCAGAAAAGGTGCGCATTTTGAGAATGGAGCAGTTGCTTACAGTACCGCCGATGGCGTAGTGGCCACCAGTGTGAGGGGAGGCACCCAAGCAGTTGTTCAGGTTCACATAGTCCTCCAGAGCCATGCATGCATCGATAATCTTCTGAGCGACCTGATCGTACTCCTTCTGCTTGAAGTCACGGCTCAGGCAGACAGGGGCGACACGGTTGAGCTCGGTGTCGAGAGTCAGTCTGACATTGGTGTAGGGTCCATCAACAACGCAGCCGTTCGCGTCAAGGGAAGCGGAGCCAAAGCCGGCCGTGGCGCTGGCGTTCAGGATGCTCGCGTTCTCCAAGGGCAGGACGGCTTGCTCAGCCTGTTCGTCCCAGTATCTGTATGTGGCCCACTCGTTAGTAACAGTATCGCCCAGGTATGGTTATGATGCATCTATGTCAAGCCCATAGAAGAGCCTTGAATGCAAAAGGGATGAAGTGGCTTGTAATGAGTCACTTACGGCATGGGGCCAGTGTAGCCGCACTCATCGCGGAGGAGCTTCTCCTGGACTGTCATGTACCAACGGTGCCAAGGGAAGAAGGCGCCCTAAACAACAAACTCTGCATTAGCCTTCGTTTTTGATCGGTTACTCGCCTAATTCACTCGACGCTTAATGGGCCTTCACACTTACGACAGAGTGAACAAACTGAGCCTGAGAGACGTGGGCAGCCTGGAGTTCTTCCCAGCGAGTCGTGGAGCCAGCATACCCGGTCTTGGCAGGAGCCTGGGCAGGGTCCATCAAGCAAAGGGTCGCGCTAATGTACGAGGTCTTCTCATCGTCAGTCAGGGCGGACCTGTTGGATTCGTGTTAGCGAACTTCCTCTCCATAGCCTCGTTCTCTCAGGTGAAGAGGGCGGCACCAACCAAGATTTGCGGACGGAAGGATTAGTGCAGGCTGCTAGAACCCCCTGAGAGGCAGCCAGAATGGTGATGGCTGTGGACAAGAGGGAGGGCATCTTTGCTAGTGGGCGAATATCTTCTAACTTTAAAGAGATAAAAAAGAGTGACTGTAGAGAATGACTTGTGGTAAAAGAACGAGTGATAATTACTTGGTGGCAATCGTAGTAAAGACTGTGAAGTTGCCCGGAAAAGAGACATCCACTTCTTGGGACAGATGAACATCTATTTATCTAGACCAGATTCTAGTATACAGACTTTATGAAGGCATTCAGTTTACCTGGATCATTTCTGGCCAAGAATAAGCTGCCCGGCAGTCAGCCTCCATTCGAACTTGCTGTGGTTGCGTACCTGAGCATGGCGCAATACGCCAAGTCGGTTAAGGCCGACCGAGACCCCCGTGCTGCATAAGGTAGAGCATCCATTACCCCCACCGAGGCACATCTTCTTACCCGCGCTTCTAGCTGCATTCCACTAGAGGACAGAGATAAGGCCTTCTGGGGATGTTATTCCATCACTTAGAATGCTACATTACACGAGTCGCTGTCCTGATCTAAAGTCTAGGACGCGTAGTCCGATGCTGAGTATAGACTAGTGCGGCTCAGGTTTAGATCGATATGGCAAGCACAAGGTTGTGGGCCCAATGTTCCTGGTGAAATCAACATGTGGTTCGCCATGTTGGTTGAGAAAGTGTGGACTGCTACTAGAGCAACCTTGTCTACTTTACACATTGGAACCCTCATGCAGTTCTGGTGTAGGTAGGTCGGTGACCTGGTGGTTGGTCAACATGCCGCAATAACCATAAGATGTCAAACTGACCGCGGCTAACGTCCGGGCATACCATTAAAAATAAGAACGTACTCCGCCACCGTGGCGGAGATTGCGTTCTCGGAGTGGGTTCAAGATGTTGCAATCTGTGGCACTTGCCGCACTCCGTCCGCTGGTCAATTCTCTGTTGTGATAACTACCTTACCCCTGAACAACTTAATCTAATCTTCACGGTCAGCTTTGTCATCCCTCCGATATCTGTTCTTCGAGCACGTAGAGCGAGTCATATCCTACTCCGTTTCGACTCTTGGCTTTTAAGCTTTTCTTCGTGGAGGCGGTGCCTGAGATCCTCTCCCGCGGCCACGGGTACATCCGAAGGCATGCAAGCACACCTTTTGTAGTGGGCCATGATCGGGCCGTACTCTAACTAAGTATATCCGTGGTCCCCACGAAGAACATGCAGGGGCATCGATGTTCCTACAAAGTACGGATATCGCTGGACACAATGTTTTTTTCGGGCATATCAGTAATCAAGACCTAGCATTTTCCAATCCAGGGCAATGATCAGGCTCCGTCTTAGATAGGAGCGTTTCTCCAAAGGGAAGTTGCCACACGAACATCGCTATTATTCTTACTTTGCAACTCAATAATCACTGGAGGCCTTTTGAAGACCTACTTACCTCGTCCATGCTGTGAACGGCATCCCCGCGGGTACGCGCATTTCATGACAAACACGGACCCATATCCGCCCCGCTCCGCCCCTGCCAGGCTCACCCCTTCCGCCCCCTTTCCTCCTCCTTACTACATACTATGCTGACCTATGCTTTTGTAAGATTTTAATAGGTTAACAGTCCCGAGCCATTCTTGAAAGCAGAGTTAAAGCGTACGCGAGGTGCTTTAGGAAAGTTTAGACCTTACCATTGCTTACCTTACGTGCAAGAAAATATATCACATTTCCATTTCGGCAACCTGTTTCATGAAGCACAACTACATAACTCGCAGTAAATCCATAGTTCATCCGACATCAGCTCCACTCTAGCGGGGAATTTTTTTGAGAAAAAAAGAAACGAGCATTGGCAACATTGACGATTGAACAATGGCCGCGATGTAACCCTAACAGACCGCGTCACCAACTGGTCCGAAGTTGCAAGACTAGCGCACCAAGCCGGGCGATATACCGAAGTCAGCTATAGGCCGCCAATGCTATCGTCACTTAGGATGACGTATTCCTCATTATTATCAATATGTCTTCCAGGGCCTCATTGCCGGCCTCGCTACTCTGAGGTTGTGTCAAAGACTCGCAGACGCAAAGATCAGTGATCTATCGCGATTCTTGTACCAGGTAAAGGCATTGGGGACGGAGAGACCGAGCTGAAGGAGCGTACCAACATGCAGTCCATCAGACGCGATTCGGAAGCTGCTGTCTAAGTTTTTGATTACCATTGCTGCTTTAGAATTGGCAAGGTTTACAGGTTCCAAGGTAGGCATGGAGACTACCGTCTGGAGATCTGACTACAACCGACCGCGCGGTTGCCAGTCGCCAAGGATCGAAGCGGCATGTCTTCGGCGAACGGCCGAGGTTTGCGCCTAAATCTTTCTCCTGTTCCCCCACGAGGAAAAAGGCCGGCTATAATGGAGTACAGATGCAAGCTTCTGAAATAAACCCCTGTAGCGGCCGGTTGCCGGATGCCGGTCCGTGCTTGAAGCTTCTGTCAAAGCGAGACCGACTGTAGGTAGTTCTTCCGGTGGCATTGCTGACAGCCAGCGGAGATGAAGCTTAAATCCACCCGATGTAGGAACTTAGAGTGTGCTTCTTTACACTCGCATCGACTAACGGATGCATTTAGCATCCATTCTCGACCGTTTGAAGGCGGGAAAAGCCTCGCTTCTTTTGATCTTGGCGGTTGATATGGCGCATAAAGACTTTGCCGCAACCACTCACAAGTCCAATCTGGACAACCCCTCTGAGTCAGCAACGTAGGGGTGTATGGGGTGAAGAATTTCAGACCGATCGCATTTCAACCGTCATAAAACCCGACAGCGGCAAGTGAAAACCACAAAGATTCTCTGGTCTTGAAGCAAAGATTATGGTAGTTGTGTGACAACAGAGGAATACCATTTTTTGACGCCATCTTTTTTGTTTAGCACCTTGTTGACTTCAGGCTAATTTCTAAATTTTATTACGAGCGCCGACTCCAGTTTACTGTCCAGAGATCTCTACCGGTGTGATCAATACCCCATTTTGAAGTTCACATCGGATAGAGGAGTTTGTTTTTTCAAATATTAACAGAAAGGCACTTATAATCACTGGTATTTAAGTGTTTTCAGTTATGACAATTCATTGCTACTACATCAATAGAAGCCAGCAGCTCTGACAACGACTTCTTTAAGCTTTATTCGATCTTGCTCTCTTAGCCCACAAAGCTTCTCGTGCTCTCTCGTCACCATAGCATCCAAGCCGATACTGATAGTCATCGTCTGAATCTTCCATTTACTTTCAGGCTTCCATGAAGAATACGAAATACATGCATGCCCAACTCCAAATGGTCTTCCAACGCATCGGCCTCCCAAGTATACGGCACCAGCCTTGGCTTGGCTGCGTCTGGCATTGGAAAATCTGGTTGCGTTCCGCAACGGTGGGGCGAAATCCGACCGCGCTTAGACAATTAAATACAGTTGATCCGATAAGAACACCGAGGGAGCTGACGATAGCTACGGACAAGACCTACAAGCTTACAGCGACAAGAAATGACTTGGCGTGCGCCAAGCCTATTCCATACAGAGGACCACTTGTCAAAATTACGGCTGTTTCGCGATCAGAAACGCTGGAACCTTCCCAAGTAATAGGGGTAGTTATCACACGTGTGATCAAGAAGGCCAGCAGCAAGTGCTTGGCTACTTAAGTAGATGTCTAACTCAAACCCAGTAACCCAGAACACACCTTGGGCGTATTATGTGAACACTGCGGCACCTAACCAAAGGCCTTACAATAGGTCAAGCAAGCTACAGTAGTAAAAACTTTTCTTCTCGTAACTACCTAGAGAAACACAGATGATTGACTCAGGCGTGCAACATTTGAGTACTTGGGGCCACCGCCCATTGGCTCACTGAGTAAACAATAAGGATACCTAGGGATCGTTTGTCTATCAAGGCTCTTGGTTTCTATTGAAGAAAGTCATATGCCGTTCACTTGCAAGGCATCCATGTAGTTTCCTAGTGCCTTCACGTACTGGCATTTCTTAGTCTGTGTTCGGGTTGCATAGGTATCCGATTACGTAGCACCATGCACAGCGTGGAAGATCTGTGAAGGACCATAATATCAACCTATTGTCAATGGCATACACAAAAACTCCAATTAATTATTCTTTTGCATGTTTCAATACCCATCAGAAATCCCATCGGCTTCCTCCCGTGCCCTGCGCTTCCTATCCGCCGCCCACCACCACTGATGGGACTCGTCGTGATCCGATGTATCACATTCACGATCAGCCCAAGGTTTAGGGCTAAGGATGTAGTGAATGTTCTTGACCTCCTCGTCCCTCCAAATAGCATCGTGCACGCCGTTCCATCTCAGCGTCTTCAGTGCGTTGTAAACGTAGGGCAACCCCACCCATCGTCCACGAAACAGATTGGCGAGGAGGTCCTGGTCAGGGAATACCCACTCTGCAGGTGCGGTCTTGACACAGTCTACTATCGCCTCGTACTGACCTTTGGAGGGGATCACGACGAGAAGACCGCTGTTTAGAAGCCCAAGTGGCTGCTGAGTAAGATCCTTGCCGTTGGTCTGGGCTGCATCAGGGTCGGCGTGGTGAGACGTAAACGGACAATTGGCCGGGACCCAGCTGGCCGGGTAGTGAGGCTTCTTGAGAGGGTTGCAGATGCACGCGTGACCGGCAGCGAAGACCTTTGTGCCGGTAGTGATGGTGGTGCCGGCGGGATTCAGTGGCAGCAGCATCAACTCGTCCATGTTCTTGCGCACTAGCATGTCGCAGTCTAGGAGGACGACTCGGCTGTACGCGGTGAGAGAGAAGACGGTCAGTTTGATCCATGTGTCTTCAAAACGTGGCTCGCTTGAGTAGTCTCTTGTGTTCGAGGGGCTTAGCCGTGGAACCCGTTGGAGGGGGATCCCTCTGGCAGCAATGGCGGCGCGGCCCTCCTCGGGAAAGCAGTCTGTGTGAAGAGCGATGAAGGGGTAATTTGTATCCGAGACCAGGAGGGAATGATGTAAGGTCAGAAGTCCGGGGAGGTAACTCATATTTGTGATGAGACTAGCCCAAACTTAAGGAATGTCAACGTTGGTGAGGCTTAATGCTTGGGAAGACAATATTACCTTTATCTGATTGTACTGTCCGTTTGGCTTGTGACATTTTAACGGCCGTTTTCTTGCGGTGAACGTGCTTGTGAGATCCCTGGCAATAGTATGTTCGGGCATCGTCTGCAGTATATGTATTTGGGGCGGTCGTCCCTTGGTTCATGAGCCACTTCCTGGGTGGTGGAACAAATGCTGTACTCGGCCCGTGCCGATGACAAGTTGGCCACATCTGTTGTGGAACAGAAACACAGGACCACTCTCAGCATCGAAGCATCAACCTGATCTTATTACGAGTTCCGCGTGCTGAGACATACATGTAGTTTGAGATGCAATTCCCTCTTTCGATTGGACTCGCATAGCCAAGCCCGCGCCTTTCCGCGAAACCAAATCATACGTCACTCGGGCGTTAAGCGATTCGATGATGTAGAATTTGGAAGCACATACATGGGCTTATCGGCGGAGCGTGTCTTTCTTTTCCTCTGGAAGGGGTCACAAATCTTGAAGGAACCTGTCGCTCAGCCTCCGCGGCAATTCTGGGCTCGACCAACAACGCATGGCCATCATGATCTGCTTCCTCGTTCATCTGGCTTAACAGTCAGTCATGGGTCATTCCATGGAAATGCGAAGCCGGTGATGATCAGGAAGGAGCTCAAGCTGACTGAGAACATTCCAGTAGCTTCTGTCAGCGAGGCCAACACCGGCAATTGGAGACCAAAGCTGGGTCAGCTGTGTCACGTCCACCAGCAAAAGTGATCAGTGCCCGCCTTTGAAAGGGTCTTTGAGCAGCCCTGTACCGTTAGATTGGACTCAAGTCATTGAATGGCCGGAGTTTCCTCTGTTCTCCCCATCAATGGGGCCGTGGGTGTGGATTTTCGTTCTAAATCCGCGATTTCCGTCGAGACGGGATTGGGCGCTTTAGCAAAATCTCTGGTCGTCCTCCAGTTTGATATCCACCGCTCTCACGGTTCCGGCGTTTCCTCTTCTGCCTAAAGTATGCTGCAGCCAGTACTACGGTGGGCTTGCCGTTGTATTCAGTCCGTGTGAGGTCCTGCCGGAGTAAGATTGGGTCGCTTGGTGATCATGTTACGAATGTAGCCAAAAGAACAATCATGTCGGATTCTTCACCAAGGGTGTTGTTATTGGTGGTCGGCATCATGATCGTCTCAATCTTTCTGCCACTCTCCCATTAAGCTTCGGCCAGATTTTCCGCCTCCCTTTACTTGCCCCAGATTCATGAACCAAGGATCTTGTGTGCCGGTAACTGGAATTGAACCAGCGACATTTGGGCTTCAGAGACCTTACTAGGTGCATACATTGAAATGCAGTATTTGGGAAGCAGCCATTGTTAGGGGCATTTCCGCAAAAGTGCGCGTAAACTCAGCATCATGCAAGAATCAGAAGCCCACAGCTTATATCATAAGGCTTGTAAGGCTTAAAGTAAAATTTCGAGCCTAAATACTGATCTGAATTTTCGACGGCCGGTTTTCGACGGCCGATCAAGAGTTCCAGGTGCACTTACGAATCTGTAGACAGGCATAAGTTTAATATCCTGTCCCTATTTGCGACGTGGTGAAAGTATGAGGTTCAAATCGCAGATCTAAGCGCACACTCTTCCCAGTACATCCAAACACCCCGCCACAGCGACGTCTAAGCTCCAAAATATCATTGAGGAGCATACAGTGCGATTTATCGGCTCGTTATCTGGCCATTTACAAAGTTGCCGGCCGCGTCACGCTTCACGCGGTGTGTCTTCGCTCGTCTGTGATGGTGTTGATGGCGTGCGGAGTGAGGGCAGGGATTTAATTGAATTTTAAGGTGCCGACTACTTAGGAGCGTACGTGTACTGCGAAGAATTGAGTTAACGAGGATCATTGGTGAACCATGGGTTGGAGAGGGGTAATTTGCCTATCTTAACTTCTATGGATTTCTCAAACAGCTCATCCCCCAAGGCTTCGATCTCGAAAAGCGCAGACCAGTCTCGCAACCACAACTGCCCTGAAAGCTTGCTAGAAAATTAGTTTCCTTTCTAAAAATTCTAGTTTAGCAAGTTTCGCTCGTTAGAAATGCCGCATGTTAGCCTCACTTCTATTGCTTAACTCTATCTAGTAAGGAACAACACAAAAGCTCTAGCTTAACTCAATATCGGCGCTAATATAAATCTTAACCGGATGTTTAACTGTTCTTTGAGTCGATACTTTCCACGCTCGAATGAGAGCGAGTCATGCCACAACTGGAAGCTATCTTTTCCCAAACTGAAAGAAAGTTCTGCGTAACAAATTTAAGCAGCATTAAGCCCACTTGAAGACATCGTGTTGATCCTTTATCTCTGCAAGTCACCTTAGCACTCCGCTGCCTTACATTCCTATCCTACGACCAGGTGAAAGCCAGTTGCACAACATGTACTTCGTCATTATCGTCCTCTTGGAGACCCTTGCAGCCTCTGTAGCCGCACATCCCATCGTCGTCTCCTCCGATCTCTCCTACGCCTCGGCGCCATCATTCAGAAATGGCATGCACACGAACAATATCAAAATCAAAGTAGGGGAAGAAGGTAAAGTTGAAGAAGCCTCAAGACCTTTCCAACTGATTCTGATATGTTGGTCACAGATCAGCCCGACCTTCAAACTAGGGATGAGGCTGTGGTTGATGTCCTCGGCTTAGACACCGAAGATGCCGGGTTGCCCATCCAGCACTATGACAAGGAGATCACTCACGTCTCTCCCAATAATGATCTCTCAATCGTCCCAAGAGCAAACAAGAAGCCGACGAAAGCTGAAATCAAGGCCGACGACAAGAAGTTTCATAGAGATCAACTACGACCAGACGACGCAAAATACATTAACAACCTTGACAGAGCCAATGCCAAACAATGTGGTACAGGTTGCCAGGACTCCTTAAACTCTCACCGCTCCCAGCAGAGCAAGGAGCTTAAAGAAAAACAGCGAAATGCGCCAAATCTCCCAGGCTCAAGGGCATCACGAGGCGAAGTCAATAGTAAAGAGGATGACTATCAGCACGATTTGAATCATCTGCGTATGGACAGAGGCGACATAGGTGAAAACGGTAAGAATTCCCTGAACTCGTGGCATTCAGTCGAATCCGCCAATTCGAAGGCATCGAAAGCATCGAAGGCATCTAAGGCATCGAAAGGAGGCAATTATCATGGCTGAGTAGCTTAAAAATGGTTTGAACCAACAACACGTATACGGATTGTAACAGGCTGGAAGTTCGAACTGTCAATGTTTCATTCAATTCTCAGGGAAATTTATGATCAAGAGATTCATTGAGATCGTCCTTGTAGCGAATGAAGTGTTGTCGCAATCCTCTGTGATCGATCCGCCTTCAGCCGGGCCAGATGCTAGTGACGCGCCGAACTACATTTGCAACGCTCCGAGGTCTTTATGCAGGGCAGGATTTCCGAAAGTATGAGCTACATTCATCTATAACTCTGTTCCACAGCGCATAGCTTTCACTCACACAAGAGACGTTTTCAGCTACCTAGGCTTTGTTCATAGTTGCCTGATTCTAGCATGGCTCAGTTGGTGCGATTGCTAAATGGGCATCACGCGTAAGTAGGTTGTCAAGGAGCCTGAGCTGCCAAGGCTTTTCCTGGGGCAAAGTCAGACCGCTGCTCATGCCGCTTACGCTGAAAACATCCAGGTCTCATCTAACCACTCGAAGTCAGCAACTCAAAGGTGAGCAGCCGGATGTAAGAATAGAGTGCCTCGCCACTGTCTCTAGTGTCTTCCTGCGTGGGTGCGGCGACCGCCGAAAATGTACAAAGAAATTATCACGCAATGGTTATTCTGGAGTATGAGTACAGTGTGTGCCCGGTTTGCTCATCCACTTCTCATCAGCAAAGCTTGTGTTGGTTCTACTTGATCTGCAATCAGTTGATAACTTGACTCAATATTTAGAGAGGTTAAGTGGACGGCGGCTCTTTAAGCCCCTCTTAGGGGGATGAGAAAATCAATCCCTGTCAATTCCTTTGAAAGAGCGCGCACGCGCCGCTCCGAGGCCCCATCTCATGTTACCAAAGTGCCTTTCGGACCACATTTCATCATCACTCGCGCCCTTCATGTCAACCCGCCGGCTATAGAACCGGTTAGAACAGCCAAGAAGGAGAGACATCGCAATTACTCACCAGTCCTATAGAGCTATCATAGGCACTTATCCAGACGTTGACATCGTCTCATAAAGTTTCATTCTCAGATCGCCTTCGGAACAGAAAGGCCTCATAGATAGATACAGACACAGACACAACGATGGCATCGACAGCAGCAGCCAGAACATACCTGGCCTTCCAGCACAACGCAAAACTCACCACTCTCAAGACCATCGTCACCGCCATCCGCCCCTTTGCAGACCTCGAAGAAGCCAATCGCGGACTCTTCAAAGATGGAAGCGACCAAGATCACGTAGTCGTGACGGAACAAACAATCTTCCACCCCCAAGGCGGCGGCCAGCCCTCCGACATCGGCTCCATGACCGCCACCGCAGGCTCCTCCTTCGCCGTCAACTCTGTACGCATGGACGCCGTACGCGACGGCCAAGTCCTACATTTCGGACGTTTCAACGGAGACGCGGTATTCAAAGAGGGCGACGAGGTAGAGCAAGCCATCGACGTCGAGAAGAGACTGCTGTACTCCCGCCTCCACACAGCAGGACACGTCCTCGGCGCAGCGGTACGGCACCTCCTCGAGAAGGAAGTCGAGGGCTTCGACGAGCTCAAGGCGTCGCATTTCCCGGACTCGGCATCATGCGAGTTCCAGGGCCTCATTGATGGGAAATGGAAGGAGCCGATCCAGGGCAAGGTGGATGAGTTCTTGGCGGCCAAGATGCCGGTCAAGGTCGATTTCTGGGACGAGGACGATTTCCGGGCGCGGGGGCTCGAGAGGCTGATTCCGGACCGGAGTCTTGCGCCGCCCGGGGAGAAGTTCCGCGTTGTGGAGATTGTGGGCGCCGAGGTGTATCCTTGCGGTGGTACGCATGTCGACACGACGGATTTGTGCGGGGAAACTGTCGTGAAGAAGATTTCGAGGAGTAAAGGGAAGTCAAAGGTCAGCTACGCGGTGAAATAAAAAGGTGAAAGACGATTTAGACGGCTTGGGTACACGAATGATGAGTGTTGCAGGTGTATCATAATAGAGAAGGACGCACTTC